CTTGATTAGCCTGCATATGACTTTACTCACTCCTTTTTTTTTTTTTTTTTTTTAAGTTTTCTATAGAAACCCAATAAAAAAGTCCAGGAGCATGCAGCTGGTTAATGTTAACAAAAGACCTTGACAGGATCATGTAAACCATATTGGATGTCATGCTTGGGGCCTTACTGCCAGCAACATTAGAGAGTTGTTTCATTAAAAGTGAATACTGTACACTGAATATGGGATAACTTTCTGCAGCCTTCATAACCTCACACAGTAAATATAATTTAGATTTAGGTACAGAACACACTCCGGTGTCACAGCTGAGTGTGTCCTTGTGCAATCTCTTTCATTAAGTCCTTATGAAGCTACAAGTTGCAAATCCAAAATTCTGCTCCCTGAGGACACAGCTATGTGAGACATAAGTACTGTTTTAGTTCTCTGCCTATCCTGAATTGCTCTGCGAACCTAATCTTAAATACCATCATGTAACAATCACAAAAACTTTTGCTAAAGGCCATATATACTAATAAAAAGACAGTGGTGCTTCCAACATTTTGAAATGCTCTGAAAACCAACTTTTCCAATACTAAATACAACAAAATAACCTTCATAAAATATAACTTTTCTCCATTTACATTTTTAAAGGATTAGTAACCTATGCTTTTCAAGCACAGGAATCTGCGAAATAACTCCTAACATGGACAGATTTTTTTTTTAATACATAAATTAAGAAACTGGAGAGTTTTAACCCAAGTCCAGTTTCCAAACAAGGAATATTCTTGTTTACTTTAAAAATGGAAATGACAGGCATTTCCATTATAATTGTTAAAAAGTTAGCTTTACAAACAAGGGTATTTTAATTAAAAAAAAAATTCTTAACAAAACTATACAGTGTACAAATTACTGTCTACAAGGTAGGCGGTTCATTCAGAAGATCCTCCTTTCTTCTCGCTACTTGCAGCTTCACAAATTCATTCACATATTTTCAATGGAGCTGCCCACCTGAACATCACCCCACAACTATATTGCTATAATTAATATTTTTGCCATGTCTTTATGTACAGTCTCCTTCACTGCCTTTTTTTTTTCCTTAGTCAAGCCTCAAACGTTCATGTCACTCCAGGGGAAACACACTTCAGTGGCACAGCCATGAGGCCAGGGCTGCAAAGCAACTTAATAAAGGCAGAACAGTGCACATAGAACGGGGTGGCTCGATTTAGTCAGAATACACTTCCTGGTGAAGGAGGAGGCCGGAGACTAGATTTGAGTTCTCAATCTTACCTTAATCTTTTGACTTCTGAGCTTAAAAAAAAAAAAAAAAAAAAAAAAAACCAAAACCAAAACAAAACGAAAGCAACCCAAAACCAAACCTACAATAAATGAAAAGTTCATTTTCTTCCAAACAGGCTTTTCTATCAGAGAGGCAGGTGGAAAAAACCCACAGTTGCAAGGAGTTTGCTTTTTAAAATATTGCATCTGTAAGCTCTTTTTTTTTTCATACAAGAGGTCAGAGATGAAAAAAGAAAAGGCTTTGTTAAGGGCATCCATCTTCCTACAAGAGTGATCATCATTTTGGCTGTTGCACTGAACTTGTTTCGGTTTCATCCTGGTGTGCTATTAAAAGCTTACAGGCTACACCTTCCTAAAGGCAGTAATCAAGGACAGCCCCCCAGCACACCCCACTGCTCTCCAACTGCTCCATATCAGTGGCATGGGAAAAGGACAATACATGCTTTGTTTTATCAGGCCAGAGACTGAGGTGCACTCCTGGAGGGTCTAGTACATTTTGGTAATCTCAATAGCCATGTGCTTAGTGAACTAATTCACTTACTATGGGGCTCAGAAAAAGAGCAGCGTAAAGTTGATTTTCATTTTCTTTTGGTGTCTTACTGGTTTATGTAGGGTTTTCTTTTTTTCAATTTAACTATAGATAAATCTCAAGGATTTCCTTTTCTACAGTTCCTGCCTCTGTAGCCCTGCCTACACACATTACCTCCTGCTGGAGACGTGGGGATGTGCCAACACCTCCATGGCTCATTAGCCACTGCACGCTGGCCAGGGCCAGAAGGGACTGGCTTTTTTGTGCTGCTGCCCAGCACTCGTGAGGTGGCTATTGCACTGCTCCAGGGTAGGAAAACCTCCAAAATGCAGAGACAACTGCAAAGGGATGAATTTTCCTACCAGAGTATCTCATATCCATACGTCCATACTCTCCTCTGCTTGCACCCTAATAAAAGGGCATGCTTTTAAGAACAATTCACCCTGTGTTGTTGAGCCATGCATCACAAAGATCCCTGGTGCATGAGAGGTCTCTGGCAACAGGCCTGCTACTGATCTGCAAAGTGTGATTTTACTGGAAACACACTTTTATTTACATCATAGTCTAATTCTGTGGATTAAGAAACTCCTTCCCCACTACAGCCCAGAGATCTCCATCTGACCTGCTGTACAAGAAGACACTGCAAACCTCTGATGCAGCCTGAGCAGACTGAAAATTGCAATTCAGATGCTGTGAGTTAACAAATTTGGGAGAAAAAACAAACAAACAAAAAGAATATTTTGACATAGAGGGGGGAAAACGGAATATTTACCAGTCAAGCAGACTAAGGGTGGCAAATTCTCTACAGGAGCAACTCCAGAGTCAACTGGAGTGAGTGGAATTATGCCAGCAAATATTTTGGCCCTGTACGTGCATTTCCTAGACAAAGCAAGTGTCTTTGTCATTCTGAGCTAAGAACATTTTCGAACGCAAACAATTCAGGATCTTTGCCAGAATGGGAAAGGCTTCATCTCACTGTGGGTCTTGACCTCTCTCTCTCTCTCTCTCCCCCCCCCCCCCCCCCCCCCCCCTCCCTCTCTCTCTCTCTCTCCTTCTCAAGAAAAAAAACCTTGAAGTAGAACAATTTCCTCAAGTCAAGTCTGCCTCCAACAGAATTCATTATCTATTTTTTTTTTAAATCCAGAAATGATTTCAGCTTGCACCCCAGGTGGGAAGTTAAAAAGAGGGAACCGATTTGAAGGTTTGTCACAGTAGGCAGAACAGTCGCTTTGCAGCCCTTGCCTGGCTAAGGGTGCACTGCTTCACAGCTACACTGTAAAGTGTTAAAAATCCTCCCCACCCACCCCAGAATATATATATATGTATGTATAAAAAAAAATCCCCTGTCCACCTCTCAGTACAGAAAAGGACCTCATCACACTGCAAAAATAGCAGTACCCACTTTGGTCAATTAAAACAAACAAAAAAAGCATACATTATTCTTTTTTTTTTTCTTTTAAATCTGTGTTACTTACCTATAATAACCAATACAGCTAAAAGCACTACCTACATAGGCAAAACTTGGTATTGCATAATTCGTATAAATTTGTATCCCCTCCCCCCAATATTAATTGGAAGATGAAAAACATGAAAGGTTAATAGAAAAAACACCAAAATACTGAAAATATTGCTGGTCGATTACAATTTTTAAGCGGCAACTATACACAGCCATGATATGCTTTATAAATGTGAGATAAAGGTATAACTGTCTAAAAAATCCATGATGTCACACTTTTTTCCCATCTGGAGTACAAAATATTTGTCATAAAAATGGTAAAGATTTAAAATGATAATAAATGCAGCAAAACAAGTGTAGTGATGTAAATTTTTTTGTGTTTTTTTTCTTTTTTTGTTTTTTTCCATTTTTTAGATTTCAAGGCAAGGCACGTAATGTGGACATTATATCTTCGTGCAAATTAGGATTACTGGAAAGAATATTTTAATTATTTTTTAAAGAGACATAGAGGCAAAATGTCTGCCCATGCACATTATATTTCTGTCAATATGTGAAAATTGTTGAACAAGGCTAACTTCTGAAAGCACCATGCAAGTTTTCAGCACCCTGTAACTAGACTTACATTGAGTGCATTATTTAAATATAACATATCCCCATCCTGGTATTACCAGTTTGTAAACGGTAAGCTTTGCCCTTGTGGCATGGATTTGCCTATCTCTTTGTCTCTATGATGCAGATTTTACAGAAACATGTAAACCCTATGGGTTCTTGATGCAACCAGTAACTTTAAATAAATAAATCCTACCCCTCTGCGGAGGCAGCAGCTAAACCAACATAAGTGCTGTGTTTCCATCGATTTCTTTTTCTCAAGGACATGATTTGTCTTGATTCAATGCCTTTTAATGCCCTCAAAAACTGAGGGGAAAAATAAGTTTGTTCAAAGTAATTTTTATTTCTATTTTTAATCCCCTCAATTTAGAGTCCAAGGGCTGAAGGACTTATAGTGATGACCCCTTAGATATGATTTCTAAATTGCACTTGCCTCTGTAAGTGTTTCTTTAGTGGGGAAAACGCTCACTTTTTTCCTTTGCTTTTTTACTGTTGCATGAGGAGATAACACTTTTACCTACGTAGAGGCATTTCTTCCATAGAGCCTGTGTGTTTATACTGATTGAAAACTTCAAACTGCATAACACACTAGAAAAGGCTGAATTAAGGGCCAAAGTTTAATAAATCCATACTGATAACTAAAGGCTACAGAGCTTATTTTCAAAACATTTAGAAATCAGAGTGTTGAGAAAATGGCTGGCTCATGGCCCTTGTCCTCCTGCAGCTCTGCTGCTGCTGCCTAGCCTTTGTTTTGTGAGATAACCAGGAATAGTGATCCCATGCGTAAACAACAAGAATACTAAACCAATAAAACTAGCTTATCATGCAAATATTAAGGCATCTAGAAAGTCAGTTAAAATATATTGTCAGAGACAGAACATCTATTTCCCAGCGGACTTCATATAACAAAGGCTACTTAGCAGGGGCTGCATTCTACCCATCAGTGAAATATCATCGACCCTTAGTATGTCATTTCAGTTTCAACCATAAGGGAATTACTGATTGTAAGAGCTGCAATTGCTGGTCTATTTTTTCTTCTTTCTTCAGTATCTTTTCTCATCCCGTCTTCATTTCTTTTTTTCTTTTTTTCTTTTTTTAATTTTGCTTTTATTTTTTTTTTAATTTTTTCCCTCAGTTGCTTGTTTCTGCTTGAAGGAAAGGCTCTCCAATTATGTTCAAACCATAATTTGGGACATTTGTCGGCAGGATCGGTGTCCTACTTGATACTTGAAAAGGAACCAAGCTAGCCCAGGTACCAGGACTGTTGAAAAGGGGAAAGAGATAAGGAGAGAGAGAAAAAGAGAGAGAAAAAACAAAACATAAATTAAGTATGTTGCAAAAACTAGAATACAGTGAATCTGAGTCAGGGTTAAGCCAATACTCATTATTAATAGCACTACTTAAGGTAAAATAAGAAACTAAATTTGTGAATATTACTTGAGATTCTACTTCACAGTTTTCTTTGTGAAAATATGACTTATTTGAAAGAAAAAGAATGACCTTGATCTCAGTTGCAGGTAGTATTACTGCTGTCTTACACTAAGGGGCCTGTTTCTTTATGAAAGCCCCCAAAAATTTCAGACAAAAATATATAGAGCAGACACAACTAAACCATACAAGTGACACTACATAGCACCACAGATGTTATTTAAGAGCTATTGAAATACCTTACAGTGTACAGGTTTTCTCTTTTCAAGAACACAATATAAAGGTTCATTGGGCAAGCTTCCCGTGCTATTTCCTACCCTCTTACAACCCAGCAGTTTGTCTTGTCTCAGTCCCAAGATGTGCCTCTGAGGTGCATGGGCCCCCACGAGGACAGAAGACCTTTAACATTCAAAAAACCTGCTTTCTTTACATATTTTTCCCCATCAGGGATATCGGGCAACATAGGACCCAATCATGTAAACGCTTGCAGCCAAGAGTAGCCATGAGTCAAGGGTAGCAGCGAGTACCATAAATTCTTTGACAAACATCTGAGAAAAGAAATATTTTCAAAGGTAACTCAATGACTTTGGAACTTAAGTCATCATTTCAAAAGCACTCTGTCACTGAGGAGCTTAAGTCCCAAGGGTATTCACATGCTTACCAGGCACCAACAAGCAGCAGGTACTGTACCCAACACTGTTTCCAAGGTGGATACTCAAAGAAGGACCTCAGCTGCTCCTATTCAATACCCAGAGCAGACCCTGAGCTGCCTTTTTCTAAGATGTGTTTCAGGCAACCCAGAAATAATGGAATTCCTAGAGAAAGTCTCATCAGTTTTATTCAGAAGAAAACCAGCATCACTGTCAGCAATCATTGCCAAACAACTAACACCAGAACTGGATACACAGCGTGCAAACACATGCTTCCTCCGCATGTCACTGCATTGAGTTTTTCTCTGCACTAGGTGTTTCTGCAAATGCAACAGCTTACTTGGGAATACACATTGGGATTAGACTGATAAGCTTCATGATAACACATCTGAAGACTAAAACCTCCAACATATGTTTCGTGGAGGACGGGTGCTGGAATTTTTCTTCCTTCTCTAGCTTTGGTCATCCCTTCGCATCGTTCTCTCTCTGGATGAACAGATGCATTTCTGTGGCATCGGCTGTAAAGAGGGAAACAGACCCTTTTTATCTATTTAAAATCTGAACGAAATAACTACATTTCACTTGGCAGATTTATGTGGTCCTTTCAGTTGCTGCTGTATGAACATTAAAGAAAGAGGTCAACTTATTTTGTGAAATCCAGGGGATGTGTTCCTCAGGTCTCATATATTTAAAATAATACAGGCAGCTTCTGTCATTTACTCCTGTTTGATACTCTTTACCTCTCTATACCTGTTCATTTGCTGGTTTGATTCCCCAAAATTAATTTCAAGTGCTCTGCTTCACACACAAAAAAAGTGGAAAAAATTGCTGACCTGCTTGTCTCAATGATTGTCAAATTCTGGAGAGAGCAGGACTTATTTTTTTCCTCAAGGAAATATAGGAAGTATGAAAAACCTAATGTATTTTAAATAACTGAAGTACAAATATTATTCAATAGGTTGGGGTTTTTTTCCAGTTGGTCACCTGAAAATCTGGGTAATTTTAGCCTCTTCAGAAATTAAAAAAGTCTTGCTATATTTTCAAAATCTAAGATCAGATAATATGTTTAATTAAATTTTTTTTTTAATTCTACTGACTAGTACAAATAAAATAAAATCTGTCATTGGAGAAATAACCCCTTTTGAAATTCAAAAATCACAGTTACACTGCAAATCTTGAAATATTCACTTAAGAAAGACTTAAACCTGGTTATGCATGAAAGATTTGTCCAATATGATCTGATGAAAGTATTATCTTTCAAAAAAAAAAACAAAACCAATATCAGAACCTCATTTAAGAGGCTTGATTTTTTTCCAACTTGTTCATCTTCCTTCACAATTTGTTTTAAAATGCATTTTTTTATTCCCTTCTCTTCAGATTTCACTGATGTTGAGAAGTTCTGAAATAACAGACACAATGTAAATAGTTTCCAAGCACAGGGATTTGTAAAAATAGGAACTAGTTGTAAAAAATAAAAATAAAAAAAACCCAAGCAGATTTGTTGGCTTGGGATCTGTCTGAATATATGTTTTACAGTGCACATTTCTTTGCTGTCCTGTTAAATGGGACTTACTTACTTACAGTGTTCAGTGACTTTAAATGAAATAGAACACTAACTAAAAGAAAGTAAATTTTGTACTAGGTCAACATGGTATTTAAACAATTTCTGTTGCAAAGGCTAAATACACAGCTTCCAGGTTATCTTTCTGAAGATTTACAGTTCAGTTCAGTGGTTGGATACATACATATGTGACTTTTTTCTTCGTTTTAAAGCTGACAACCCCCTAATGACTACAGCGGGTGAAGGAAAGCAGTCAGTGCTGATAAAGAACAAATTATTATTTGTAGCAGCTTTCTTGACTACTACTTCATATAGGAGATGGAGATCTTGATTTTCTGGAAAGTGCTCAATAAAAATAAGTTGTCACAAAGTGACTAATAGGACTGTTGTTGCCGTATGACCTACAAATTTAATATAGGTGCTTATTGAAACCTTTTGAGCCTCCCACCTTGTATTACGACCATGACAAAAATGTGGATTGCAACAAATTTGTCAATGCTGCTCATGAATCCTCAGGGAGTAATAAATCTCCCACGTCCACACTGTGTAGATGCCACAGGGGTTTCGGAAGCCTCTCACACTGCCTGCCAGAGATGGCAGTGGTGCAGGCAGTGGAGCACCTCTGGCACCAGCACAGCTATGCGTTGTTGGCATGCAGTGTCTGGAAATGCCATCGCTCTGACACCTCTGAAGGTGGGATGAAGTCAGTGATCTACCTACACCCACTGGGCAGCGGGTGGTCCCGCTGGCAGCCGGTAAGGACAGGCCATCCCCTCTGTTTCCTAGACACTTCTGAAGTCTTGATCTTCAAGGTTTGACAAGCTCTGCTTGTATTTTAGAAATTAACCTTCTCATACTGCAGTTTGATACGACTCATATCTTGGGCCACCCCAGTCCTGATACTACTGTCAAGTGTCTAATGCAGACAAAAGAGGAAACCCGAATGAAAGTTACTGAGGTGAATAGCCCTAATCACAGCACAGAGCTTTGAGAACAGCCATGATATAAATAACCAAAAAAAAAAAAAAATTCAGGGCCTGCTAAGCTGCATATGTATGGCTGTCTATCCAACATTCCCATACACTCATTCCATTTATGGTAAATTTAATTGAACTTCCACTTACCATATGAGCCACACCCTGCTTTGTAGCTCCACACACACACACCCCCCCACTATGCTCCTGCGTGCAGCCATGACAGGCTGACAGCCCAGAGGAGCAAGGACCTGTGTCAGCTTTCTCAAACCTGCTCTGAAGGGACCTCTGTGAGCACCGCAGAGTTTAGCTTCTGCCATGCAAACCACCATCCACTGTTCCTTTGCAGAGTGCCCTAGCAGAAGCACTGGTTACTGCTGACTGCAGAGCAAACTCTGTCTGGGGTTTCACACCCCCAGGCAACAGCAGGAAAGGGGAAAACACCTTTCCCTTCACCACACTATCCAGCAGTTTGTGTAAGTCCCAAGTAAATTTCCAGCCCCTGGTTTTGCAAAAGCAGAGGCAATGCTCTGTCTCTGATCACCAAGTGCCTCAGCACGGGGGAAGCCAAAACTCTTCCCGTTGCCCAGGACACGGGCAAGCTGGTTTTGCTTGCAGAAGTTAATGAGCTTTCCCTCTGCCGATGTCTGTCCCTCTGACTGGGCTTCTCCTTCAGATAAAAAAGCTCTGCATGTGTAAGTGGAGTAAAGCAGGTCTACCCCACTCTCCAGCTCACTGCTCCTGAGGAAATCTGAGCCCTGAGCTGACAGAGTTCATGATATAAATGCCTGCCCCTTGGAAGGTGAAGTGGGACCTCCAAAAAAATGCTCCAGGCTGTTTGAAGAAAATTACATGAGAAGCACCATCAGATATTGCTGTGAGATTCAGACTAGTAGCCTTTGTTAGAGACGGTATAGTTTGCAGGACCACCTTCCTGAAGCATTATACCTCTAAGTAATTTCACTATCAGAAACACTTTTCTCTCACCATAACTAGACTATCAGGTGTGTAATACAGACATCAATTCTCTCTCTGTCCACAGCAAGTATAATGTATTTATCTGTTCAAATGTAATAAAATAGCAAAGGAAAATTCTGCAAGCATCCTACAGGGTTAACATTCTCCATTACAGTTTCCATTACAGTTTTCACATGTTAATTCAATCAAAATTTCTGCCGAGATTTCCTCTTAAAGATAATAATTGCTGTTTCAAGAACCTCTTATTAAAATATTACTGGAATGGACCACAAGCAATACTAACATTATATGCATATACAGTCTGCTTTGGAGGTTATGATAACATAAAGAATATAGTAATGTTAAGCAATTAACTAAATGCAATAAAAAATAAATCAAATCAGACCTGAGTAAATCTGAAGGATTTTAAGATTCTTATTTTCCAGCAGTTACTATCTTCTTTCTGTTGCAGCTTCAGAAGTCTGTAAGAGTATTTCACCATCCGGAAAGTACACCAAAAACCAGTATTTCCCTTTTGCTGCTTTACTACCCTGTGCATGAACACACTACCTTACAACAAGGTAGATCAGATCGTGCCAGGTCAGTCTTTGGACAGAAAAGGTAGAGGTGCCTTTGCTGTTCAGGGAAGTGGCACTAGCGAGTCACCAAGCAAGGCTCATCTATCTCTGTA